AAAGCTAAAGAGTAACAGAACCAAATAATGAACATTTTAATTATAACAAAATAATGAACATTTTAATTATAACAAAACTTGTTTCGAAATTGCTACGTTTTCTACGCGAAATCTATTTCAACTTGAAACAGAGTTTGACGCAAACACATATATATATATATATATATATATATATATATATATATATATATATATATATACACGCGCCTGTATATATGCATGTGCATCTGTGAAGAGGCTTTTCGAAACGAATAGATAAAAGTTTCAAAGATATTTTGAGATTCAGAGTTCAAAGTATTTTAATTAGCTATTCCATGGGCTTCGCATAAAAATTTCTAAGCGGTAACATTTTATTTCAATTATGACAATTACAACAACGATAAGGATGATAATTTCTCATGTTCCCAATATAACAAAGTCTCGCACTTACCTATTCGATTTTTTTAAATGCTTGTCTTTTACTTATTTGCCTGCAATTCAACATTTTTCCAAGCCATGCAAAACAATGCAAGATATTGTACTCACTTCAAATTTATTTGGGATATGCATATTTATTTCGTCGGTATAAAAGTTAGTAATTTTTTTCATTGATGGAGACACATTGTTAGAAAAGTATCCTGTTATAAGATAAATATGGTTTCTTTTCTTTATCTTTATTTTTGTATTACCATCACTTATTGAGAAAATGCGTTGACCAATTCTGATTTTTAGATAAGGGTTTTTCTGATATGTCAAAATAAAGTAATATTTTCTTTGATTATTCATTAAATATTGAAACGATAGGCATCTACCCTTGTCTGTTAATATCGATTTATCTACCTCAATCTCGCATAGATCTATAACTACTCATTTTATTCATTTTTTTTCACATTATATGTAATCTTACGTCTTTGCTATCAATCGACATCATTTCCAACTATTCTCTCAAATATTCTTGTGAGAAACCATTAACATAGAAAAGGTCGACAGATATTAAATTGCACCCTTTCTCGTCTCTTGGTAAGTTAATAATTCCGAAATGTTTTATCTAGTGATGGCAATGGGAAAATAAACAGGGCGTAAGTAAACGAGTAAAATCAAACGCGTCATTTGATGATGTTCATGTTAACATATTTCGTATCGAAGAGAATCTGAGGCGAAGCAAGAATGCGTTGATTTATAAGTAATTTGATGCACGCCCGTCGATAAAAGCCCCCCACACGGAGAATTTATGGAATTTCTATTTATTGAAAATTCAATTTTTCCCAATTAGTCTATCGATTTTAGCCTTAAAATATCTTCAAAATTATGTAAAATTTATTTTAGTATTCTAACACAGAAACGAATTTAATAACTTTTTCTACATTTTAAAAATCTTCTTTACTGTTCTCTTCTTTCCCTCTGCCTTCCAACACTCGTTTTTTCCAGATACACGCATATCTCCCTATCTATCTATCTATCTATCTATCTATCTATATATATATATATATATATATATATATATATATATATATATATATATATGTGTGTGTGTGTGTGTGTGTGTGTGTGTACACACACACACACACGAGGGGGTGTTGCAATTTTCTCCTCCAGACTAAGAAACCCTTTAAAACTTCTGATATTTGACAATTTCGTCAGACTTTGGTGACCTATTCAGCAAGCCTCATAAGTAGATATACAATACGTTTCATAAAAGTTTTATTAAACTTTTAACAATTCTCCTAAAAGCAAAGCTAAGAAGTATGAATTCAATGCGCAAAGAACGACTTTTAAAATGCTACAGTCAAAGTGAGTTCAAATTCAAGTTAGATTTACTTTCGCCTTTCATAATCTTTTCAGTTGGAAGCCTTTACCAATTACGTTAATTCAGATTCAGGAAAGAGGAGAGGGAATGTTTAATTACTTGTCCAATTAATAAAGAAAAGAAGTTATGTTCATTATTCTTGATTCTTTTAGGCTAATTGCAATATTTCTAGAATTTGTTATTCCTGGACAATTCTAAAATGCATTCTTATTTTGTAATAGAGGAAAGTCAATTATATAAAACGAGCTGACTAAAAAGTAAATATTTCAATAAGTGTAATTTTATTTTTCAGTATAATCTCCTTTGTAAACGCCCTTTATTCATTGGTAAATATCACTCATATAATACAGTAAATATTTCAAATCAACATTCAGCTAATAACTACGTATCAAGCTACAAACTTATTAATCCATCTTTGTATAAGAATCTCAGTAATTGGTGAAGAAATTATTCAAATTAACGTAGTTACTTTATATTTTCAGAAAATAACAGAACAATTTTATACTTGACAAAATTCATAAAAACAATAAAGTATTTGGTTTTGTTTTCCTTTCTTTACAGAATATTTTTGTGTCGCTTTTGCCATTAATTTTTTTCTCTGTTATACACCAAATCATTTGAATTTCTTCACTCATTTTAGTTGTTATAGCTATCGTTTTTCGGTCCTTATACTCTCCAGCTATATTCAAGTGTCTGTTGTATTCGGTAATGTTCTAGGAAATTTGATGCAAATCTTTTATTTCGTCCATTCTGCTCTCCATGTTAGAGGATGAGATAGAATATATAAATTTCTATGTCTGACCCGGGGTACTGACCCTTCTGCAATTGACGGATTCTGTGATATTTAAGACGGGTAGAATCAGCTTCAGATCTCTGCATCTGTATAGGAATGTTAGATGGCTCGACAGTTGTACCAGTTTTTGATGGCGTTTCTCTAACACTCCCCATTTCTTTCATCCCGTTGAGTCAGGAGAATGGAATACCATATGGGAGAGTCTTTGATCAGGGAAAAATAACCCAGATATGCCACCTTTCTTTCAATACTATAGTGCAATGGTCAAGTATGGTCGTTCGTAAACAGTTCATGAGATCAATACTGGAATCAGACAGAATGCATCAGTTTAAAATAATAATAAATGCTTATAGCGTTCATCATCACACACACACATACATACCTATACAAATTCAAATTACAATAACAATCATTCATTGGATAGAAATCAACGCTACTGTCTTATGCGACAATTTTGAATTTTTATATTTTCGTATAGTAGATTTTGTGCAGTTTTGGGAGAATCGGCTCCCAGAAATCTCCCCAAAGCTCATTCACTGATTGGTCAGTATCGACCAATCGGATTGTCTGCACCTGAAGAGTGATTCTTTCCGCGCAGATCCAATGATCACTTATAAAAGCAAGAAAAAAGAGTAGACACACTAGTGAAACTTCAGCTGACACAGAAATCCACGACAGTTGAAGCTATCCGCCGATCTTCTCACTCAACACTCACAAACTGCATATTCCTTATACTTACATAATTTTCCCTCTTGCACAGCAAAACTGTTAAAAAACATTTATTACAAACTATTAACTATTAAGAGAGACAACTCTCGTTTTACTCATTGCATGCTTTTTCTTACACATTCCTTATTGTATACATTGTTGAATACAATTTTTATATATAATGATACCTTTTCCTTGTCCTTTCTTCTCATCAGTTTGGTTTCCTAATCAAAATTAAATAAATGTGGTGGAAGTCCGCCACATGCTCATCTTAGGAATATCTTTCAAAATGCAACTGCTTTTATCTGTTCTCTGTTTGTATTTGTTCCCCTTCCTTTTTCTATCGCTCTTTCCGACTTTTATCACATTTTTATTGTCATTTTCACTTTTTAGGTCTTCCCAATTTTATTTTTTATTTCCCCATTTTTATGATTTGCTCTTTTTACTATACAATTTCATAGAGCAAATGCAATGTTAGAATTGTAAATTTCACATGGATTAAAAAAAGAGTTAATTTCCTGACTGCACATTTTTCTCTTGTATATAAATATATCTTACCATTTTTCATTGTAAGAAAACTTTCCCTGTAGCAAAGATTGACTCAAATTCAAAATATTCTCGATGCAACAATGCCAGAATATCTTTGTTTTGGGGAAAATAACTTTATCGATACGACTTCTCAGTATAGCAATCCAGACGATTATTACATACTGATAGAAAGAAACCAGATGACAAAACGCACAATGTGTTCCTTGTTTGTGCTATAACCGGAAGCCATGGAAGAGTACAACGAAAGAACTGACGGATCAGATTTATTTTTAGCTTCACTTTATTTCGATTTTTCCATTCGATTTCGTACTGTATCATTTCGTCTTCACTCTTCTTTTCATTGGTCTGAAACTGACACTGAAAAAGGTCGGCGTCTGACATTTTCTTCCACAGTTACTCCTCCCTTAGATGCAACAAATATCATTCAATTCTCACTGAAATTAAATCTTGCTGGCCGCTTTTGTAGTGGCTGTCTTGGTTCTATGGTATATTATATTTAGGGCAAAAATGAAAGAATAACAAAATAATAACGTGTTTTGCAATTTTTTTTCAAAAACTTATAAAGATAACACAAGTGGAATTTAAACCATAGATTTAAAATTATAACCTAATAATCTTATCCAGCATGAACATTTGCCAATTTAAATATCCTTTCATTCCAGATGCAAATTTTAAATGCTTAAAAGTTTGTACCAGAATTCTTTTCGTTTTATAGATCGTGAAGTCTTGCTTTAAAGAAATTGCAAGTTCACGAAACATCTCTTTTTAATGAATACTTGCAGAAGTAGCATAATATATACATTATCTAATATAGAAATAAATGCACCCGTAATGTTTTAGCTATGATGGAACATGCAATTCACCTGAAATTTCGTGCAAAATCATAGAAAGCTAAGGAAAGCATATTACTGATTGTTATGAATTTAAAAGAATAAAATAATTTTGAAAACAAGATTTTTTTAAATCTTGTTCGTCTTCTTTTATGTACCGTGTATGGACAGGACGTGGGCGATCACGACTCTTCACAACTTCTTCTCATCTGTAGCTCTAGGCATTATTTATCCCCTTATTATTCTTCCAATTCGTGTAATGGCATCGATTTGCACAAACTCGTTAAGTAAGTTACTCATTGTTCCCCTTCTTTCCCTCTTGCCTTCAAAAGGCTTACGGTCACATCACATTGAAACACTAGTTCCCGTACGATAACAAAGGTTAAGCAATGTTGAAGTTGGTCAGTACCTAGATGGGTGACCACTTGGGAATACCAGGTGCTGTAAGCTTGGATATGCGGGTGGTGTAATGGATAATAGCTCGAAATTATTAATCGGATAATTCGTTATGTTCACTTACGTGCAAATAGCATTGGGAAACGGTATGAATCCACTACTTCTCCCTTATCTATGGGTTAATTAGTAAGATATTTATCACTAAACCCTTATTATCTCAAAAAACTTTCTTACACTCTGCAAAGATTATTGATAAGCCGTAGAAAACAAATCAATCAATAAATTAATCATCAATGAATTGCCTTCAAAATGTCTTGTGTCAAATTCCTCAAGCCCTCGTTTTTCATTAAGCGTCTATAAAGTTTCAACTATCTCTTTCTGATTCTCAGTAAAGTATCCTTTCTATCTCCATTTTTTAAAAAAATATGCTCGTTGATCTTATGCTCTTTCTATGGTATTCTCATCATCCTTCTGTAGAATCACACTTTTTTGTTTCAAGTCTCCACTTCGTCTATGTGAAAATTATTTAACATTTACTGCCATATAGGAGGACTGACATTACATAACAATTCAAAACTCTTTACTTTGTTTCTAACAAAACTTTCCTGTTTCTTTATACATTATTTTAGCTTTTGGAAGCCATGTTTCGCTATTGCAATGTAACAGAAACCATTTCAAAGGCAGTAGCCAGTGTAGTGAACCTTTTTGAACCGGATAAGAGAGAAACTAGTGGTATTAAATCAAAGAATCACGAAATTAATCAATACGCCGAGAAAAGCGACAAGGTTCAGAATCATCAGCATTGGTGATTGTATTAATTCGACAATCAAAAGGCAAGTCGAACACACACGTTATGGAAAAGAAAGCTTAATTGTAAAATATAACAAAACTGAGACAAGCGCTACAAAAAGGTCGTGTAGACAGGTGGGAGAAAAGTTATCTTTATGGAGAATTCAAGAGACAAAAATAAAAAGTTTCATTTGAAATGTCCTGGAAATAGAATATCATAATAACAGATTAGAACACGTGTATTAGAATGACAGAATAGCAAATGCTGCTTGACGGTTGACAGATATGGAAATGTCAATCATATAAATTAACGTAGCAGACTAGCTCGAAAAGAATACAAAAATATATATAATTGGGTTGGAATAGTGAGCTACTGGGAACGGTGCAAATGACAAGTATTCAACTGTTGTGTATGATACACCTAATTTACATAAGTGGAGTACCGACCATATAAATATGGGTTGGTACCGGAAGACGACGGAAGATTAAGAGATCGAATCCAGAGACTCTGCCCGACTGCGACTTAGTCAACCCATTCTGCAGGAACAGTCTTCCCAAGAATATACCAAAACTACCTGTAAATATTGTGTACCTTTTTTCATTGTTTCAATACATTTTGTTACGTACATTTTGTGTTGTATTATTATTATTATTCCATGCTTATTCAAGCTTCAACATCAACTATGCAGACAAAGGATATCCTCAAACTCAAGCGATGTCCTAAATCATTGGAAAGTATGAAAAGAATAAAGAAAAATAGTTAAAATAAAAATATTCTTTTTTAGGAAAGCGGATCGAATGAGCGGAAGAAACTCTGTCAAATCAGAAAGAGTAATAATTGAAGAAAAGTGTTTTGGATCCCTTATCAGTGAACTGGCAAAGTCGACAATTATATCTGTCAGTTCTTGAGACAATCCCGAAGAGATTTGCAAAAAGTTCAGAAGAACTGCATATTCGAGGAGACAGCAGCATAGCTGAAATCAGCAAAACTAATGAACAGGATTGGGGACATTTATCATCACGAGATATCCAGTAAAACCTCCAGATACAAATTGGGGATATAAATGCGAAAAACAAGCACATATTAAACGAATGCAGTAACTTAACTCAGAAAGAGTACAAAAGTAGACATGATTGGGCGGGAAGGATCTTCTTTTGAGAAATGTGCAAATGACTGCAATTTGACCATATGGACCAATAGCATAAGTACAAATCAGAATCTGTCATAGAGAGAAAAAAAAAAATTATTTGCGATTTTGAAATTCAAACGTATCATTCGAACCCAGGCCAGAAGTTTGGATCTAGTTATCATAAATAAAGAGAAAACATGTGATATTGCATTAAAACTATTTTGAGAATAACCGGTTTTTTTTCAAATGCAAGTCCTACTATTTAACCTATAGTTGGGGAGAGGAGATAGATTCATACCTTTCTCTTTTCACGTAAGTGAAAGTAACAAACACATCTGGAATTCGAACTCGGATCTACGATTTTTTCATTTCGATCCAGTATCCATTACATTATCAGCACATCTGCAAAAATAAGAAAAATTAAAAAAAATAAACTGGGTAAGAAGAATCTTACCCAGTTTTTTACTTTTTTCTTATTATGAAATATGAAGATGACAATTATGTCAATCATTGTTAGACTAATTGAAACGACCATGAAAAATCGACGTGAATCGTTTGAAGAAACTCGAGACAATCCAGACAAGGTTATTACTAAAAACTGATAGAATATTGAGGAGAGTGCTGGAGTATAGAGGAAAATTCAAATCAAACCATCTGCTGATGATAAAAAATTGTTAATAATAAACGAATAATAATATTAAAATTGCAATTATAATAAAATTACTAAATAATAAACATAACAGCTTTATTCATAATAATAATGTGAAAGTAATGGTGCCAATAAAATAAACTCTACAGAAACTATAATGACAACCATGATGAGGAATAATAATAATAATAATAATAATAATAATAATAATTTAGCTAATACAGAACGACTGACTGTATCTAAAAATGTCAATGTAAAAAGCACTTAGATGAAAAATCTCAGTTTACACATAGATAATAGCGAATATGATGGAAGTTTCGTTGAAAGTTAGCAGTTGATGCTCCTCCGAATCTACAATTATATGAAAAAAAACAAACGGTAAGGTACTTTTTCTATTCAAAAAAATGAAATATACGCTTTTAGTACCTGTTGCTGAATGACACACTCCGTTGCAAGTTAGATTACTGTGAGTGATGGCCGGATGTGAGTGCTAAGAAAGCAAAACCCAAAATAAAAAAGACGACTTCTGCTTATGAGCTCCGAGCATCACATCCGGCCCACAAAATAAATCCCCACAAAAATCTAAAATACAATATAAAAGAAGTCAGTCACGGACGTTGCACCAGAGAAGAAAGAAGAGTCTGGAAGCCATCAGATTTGCTTAAAAGAAAGACACTCATAGACGACTTACACAGAATGCGGCCGATACCGGCGGGCTCTTGACGTCACTATCGTGATTTCGGTTAACCAATCCAACCCATATATCCACTCCAAACCCACCCCTCCAAACACCACAACTTACCCACAAGGGCACTTCGCATGCACCGTTTGTATCGGCAAAGTCAAATTTGCGGCTTCATTAATCCATTCCAGACCTCTCTTTTCGTTACCACTAAGCCTTCGGTCAACCGACCCAACAAACGCATCAACTCTACCCATATCCAAAATAGCCAGCACCTGTTAGTGCAGCTAAATACCACTACGGCGTCCCATCAACACGACCATCATGATGCCGTCAATCCACACACCTCACCAATCTCAATTTCGATATTGAAGGTAGACGAATCAATTCCGCCAACGATACCTCTCACGTGCGACCAACTTCGTGAACTCATACCGTACACAACTACGTATACTGGCATTGAGTATTATGTATGTATTCTGAAAATTAATCAATAAACGATTGTGGAAGTTTTAATCATTGTTTGTTCTTTCCTTTGCAACCATACGCTGGATATAACATGAAGAAGTGTGGAAAAGAAGATGAAGAAAAAGATTGGTAGAAGAGTACAAAAAAAAAATGCAATATGGCTAAGAAAGGAAGATATGTAGAGCATCGTGTAGATTTAAGAATTATAGGAAAAACAGAAAAAATGGTTGAAGAGCATTAAACAAAGACAAAATGTGTAAGAGAAACTAAGGAAAAGGAAAATATTCAAGTAAAAAAGAGAAGAAAAAGAAAAAGAGGCATAAAAAAAGGAAATGAGATGGAAGAAAAAAACTGGGAACGCAATTTAGAAATATCGAGAAGAAAAAGGAAAACTGTGAAATCAGGAAATGAAGGAAAAAATTTAGAGAAAAAGAAATAGTAAAATGCAATACAAAATAAATGATATAAATAACATATTAGGAATTTTACTGAGACGCATTTCACCCCAGAAAGATGTAACTATTGTTTGTCGTTAAGAGCTTTTTTTTGGACTTTCAATTTAAATCCGTGAAGATTTTATTCTCTATGTGAAAATTTTATTCTCTATTGGATTCATAAGTACATGAACGATGCGAAGGCAATGGTTTTGTTTAATATTAGGATTATTATTGTCCTAATTTTTATTCTTATATTTGAATTATCAATAAGTTACAAAATTCCCATCGTCGTCATCATCATCATTATCGTTTGTATTCACTGAGTTTTCACACTGATAGCATCCGATGGTTTACAACGTGTCTCCTTTATACTCCCACACTCTACTCATTATTCTCACCATTTTCGTTAGCGCCCTTAACTGAATGATCTGATGAGTCCTCTGCTACCTTCTCATTTTTTAAAATACGGTTTTTCTTTGTCGTCTTTGTGATACAAAGATTTGTGTATAGTCAAAGATTTCCTATTGATAGATTTCCAACTGATGCATGCTCCCGTGCTTCATTCCATTTATCAGGTTCCTGTTTATTTAAGTAAATACTTTCAAGTATCTTTCTTAACTTCCTTAGTTCTTATTTTCTTTTATTTATTTTTGCTTTATTGCTACCCCATCGAAGTAATTATAGCGATCTTATTAATTTCCTTTTTGTTTTCTTTTCCAGTTTATTTTTGTTAATTCCCTGTGCGTTACTAATGATACATATTTCTCTATCCCAAGTGAGTTTGTGTTTAGAGTTCTTATTCTTGGAAAATAATTTTATATAATTCATATACAAGATATTATTGACTTTTTCTCATGTGACGAAGAATTGGCATTTTTTTGCAGTTGTTTAAGATTA